CAAAGGTGCCGGAGGAAACGGCGTGTAGAGCTTCTTAACCCGTTTCTTTTGCTTCTGTTTCTTATTAATGAGCTTTTTTCGGAAATGCGGCAAGAATTTGTCCCATGATTCGTTCCTCAACTTGTCATTCTTCTGCAATTCTCGTTTAATCATTAGCGTCTAAACATCAAAACGATACCACTGTGAATTGAGTACTAAGTTAAATCGGCGTTCAGTTGAATAAAATTAGTCAATAGCATTACGTCAAGGAATAAATGGGTAGAATCTACCACGGTACGTTGAACGAGAAAAAACGATTAGGGGAACGAAAGATTCCTAGCTTTAAATAACGATTCTAAGGCGGTCACTGAAACAAATCTGTAGAATAAGCGACCTTTCACGCAATGATCTACTGAAGCATGTGATTGACTTAGGGGTCTCTAAGTCTTATCTGAAGGAAGTATAAAGTCTCACCTTTATGTTGTACACTGGATGAATGTTGCGCATGCAATCCTCCACAACCTTTCTCACCTAAAATGAAGAAACGTGTAATCAGAAACATAACAAGACAGAAATGGTTACGCACATCTCTTAGACCCTCGTACGGACCAGTCACTGACACTGTGTTTCCCTGAACCATGATGTAGCATCCGGTAAGTAGTTCAATGGCCTAAAAGTTTAAACTTTCAACAATTTTAAGACAGCTATTAAAGGACTTGAAAATTTGGAATTTGGAAACTCGATATAAACAAGCCAAAAACATTAAGTGAAAAAAACTTTGAAACAGCATATGAGAAAAGAGTAAAATATTCATTTAACACGGGTCTTTCTGAACCCTTTAAGATATGGCTCTCTTCAGCAATGATAAGGTAACCGTTTTAGGACATCGAAATAAACAATGTACTGTTTTCCGAGCTTAGCTATCGTTTTGAAACTGTTCATTACAATCAGCCACATATTTTCTTTCCAAAGTTAAAATTTATTGTTATCAGTAACAATATTGCTAAAAATTCATGACTGTCCACTGAATGATGAAGAAAAATGAAAAAAGTAATTGACATTAGAAAGATATAGATGCAGTAGAGCTGGTGAAATTCTATACATAGTCCCGCCTCAAGAGATCAGAAACTTTTATCGTCGCCTCACCTTAAGAGTGGCGCCATCTGGACCAATCAAGCGTTGACGTCTTTTCACGAAACGTTCCCGGTTTGGAACCATTCCGTTGATCTTGATGATATCACACGCGACTTTGTCGTCGAGTACACGAGAAGCCTTAAATGTGAAAATCAGGAATTCGCTGAATCAATGAAACGCCAAGAAATATATGAAGGCATAATAACCACTGTCATTCTAAAAACATTTACCTTGATTAAAAGGCATAATTCTGCATAATTTGCGCAACATCTTCATCCTCCTATTTCTCCCCATCGTCCTAATCATTATGCTCATTTTAAAGCAGGCACTATAGCAAAACAACCAGAGTGCAAAAAATTGAAAATCTGGTAGAGTCTGTGACAATCATGACACGTCTTTCACGCGGCAATTTGTCGCACAGTGGTACGGCGGAGACCCTTATTTCGATACCAGTAGTCAGCAACGCTTCACTCTTACGAAGGCAATATTTTCAAGTAGGTATCCGCCATAACATATAGCCTCTAGCTCCATGCATATAGTGATAATCTGCTTACTCTACCTCTGAGCGATGAATTTCTAATTACCTGGCCGGCCAGGATCCGAACCCGTCATCTTAAAAATTCGACTCTAGCGCTCAGTAACTATCGCATAAATTCTGATTGCACTATGCAATTTCCAGATAAGAAAAATTAACAAGA